TTTTCATCTATCGAAGACAATCTCGACTCCCCGCCCTAAGGTATCAATTTCTAAGTTCAATTTGTATGTTTGTTTTTCAATGAACTAAACTTTAACTTAATTGTTGTGAATACTGATCTAGTATATCGTGTATGTTTTCTGTGTTAAGTTAATGTGAAAGTGAAAATAAATTTGTGAATCTAACCATCTTAGTTTCTTATTTATATTAGCAAAGTCAATTACGTAAAAATATGCACATTGATTTCTGTTAAGTGCATTTGGTCAATATGCATTTTGATTCTTAAATTTTATAGGTATTGGTACTTAGTGATTGAATCATCTAATTGCAACTATGAGTAGTTGGTTATTGAATTATCAACATGTATTTTGATTATTAAAACTTATAAGTATAAGTAGTTAATATTTATTAATCATTGGGTAAATGAATTCTCTTTATTATATGTAAATAGTTATGTATACTTGAATTCACACATGCTAATTTACTATTGTAAGTTTTTATGGTGTTAGGAAAATGATAGTTTATCTGGAGAGAGATTAATTGGAAAGAAAAGTGAAAAACCATCTTCACATGTGACGGTAATGGGCAATGGGCTAGTTTCTGATGCAGTTGTCCCTATGGTAGCTCCTGTAGTGAATGAAGATTGGGTTTGTTGTGACAAATATGAGAAATAGAGATTTCTTCCACCTGGTGTAAATCCCAGCAGCCTTCCTGAGAAGTGGCTCTGTAGCATGCTTGATTGGCTGTAAGTAGTTTTTTTTTTTTTTTTTGCACAAGGTTAAAAGTTACATTCTTTGAAATACATATTTTGGTAAAAGTGTACCTAGGCTATAAAGGAACTCACTTTCTTTCCTTTTTTTTTAATATTTTTGACATGTTTCACTGGTTCATAACTCATAATGCTTTTTCTCCCTTCTCATCTAAGTTAATAGCATAACTGCTATTTTTTTTTAAAATGTCCATTTTGACCTTGGACAAAAACTGAAAAAAAAAATATAATATGAGGACCAAATTTGTAATTTTCCTGTATAACCACATGTAAATATCACATTATATAACCATATGTGAATTTTACATGATATAATCACATGTGAAATGCAATCGTTTACACACATATAAAAAAAAATATTTCCCTCACTACTCAATTCCCTGGAATTCTATATGGTTAGATATTTATATGTGAATGTTATGCGGTATATTATATTTCATGATAGATTCATATGTGAATATAACATGATATATACATATATGAATAAAATATGACATATTCACATGTAAATCTCAAGTGAATCACATGTAATTCACATATGAATCACATGTAATTCACAAGCGAATCACATACGAATTACATGTGATTCACATGTAAACTACATATGAATCACATGTGATACACATGTAAATCACATGTAATTGACGTATGAATTACATGTGATTCACATGTAATTCACATATGAATCACATGTGATTTACATATAAATCACATGTAATTCACATATGAATTACATGTGATTCACATGTAAATCACATATGAATTACATGTAATTAACATATGTAATTCATATGTGATTTACATGTGAATCACATGTAAACCACATGTAATTCACAAATGAATTACATGTGATTCACATGTAAATCACATATGAATTACATGTGATTCACATGTAAATCACATATGTATTTTTGTGAGTGTTTTTGCATCAATCAATTTCTTTTTAAATTTCTTGTAGATTTTGGAAGAAGTTGTGGTGAATATTGAAGAGGTGAAAAATGATAAATTGAAGAAAATATGGAAATATTGACACGAAAACATGAAAACGCTTTGAAATTTTGTAGCATTTTTTTGTTTTTTATATTTTATATTGTATCGAATAAAATACTTATTGTATTGTGTTTATAGATTAGTGAATAAAATTGCAGTTTTTTTTAAATGCGTTTTTTTTGAAAAAAAAAATGTAACTTTCTTTAAAAAAACTTGCAGTTTTTTTGAAAAAATTGCAGTTTTTTTATTTAAAAATGGAGTTTTTTTTTAAAAATTGCAATTTTCTTTAAAAAAAAATTGCAGTTTTTTTCGATAAAAAAATGCAGTTTTTTTTAAAAAATTGCAGTTTTTAAAAAAAAATATTTTTTTCAACTTTTTTTTTCAAAAACTCATGTTTTCTATAAAAAAAAATTAAAAAATCAGCACTTTCTTTTAAAAAAACGAAAAATACTATATTTAAAAAAATCTGAAAATGTGATTTATGATGTCAATTTTTAGACATTTATATTAATATATTAAATAACACAAAAAATTAACCATTAAATGAGATTGGTAAAATGACGATCATGTCCTTAATGAATTATTTTTGATCCAACGCTCCACTTTTAGTTCTCGGGTTGTCGGGAAACTATGAGTTCTCAACTGATCTCATTCCTATATATATATATATATATATATATATATATATATATATATATATATATATATATATATATATATATATATATATATATATATATCTATATATATATCAAAACGAGAAATGGGGTTAAGGGGGCATGAAATCAGAGATAAGCTAAAGGTATACTCAATGTACATTTTTATATGGAGCAACTTCTAATAGAAAATCTATGTAATCTATATCTAGCTTAATTATAATTCATGTTTTATACCGTATCATATTTTTAGAATGTTATTTTCTGCTACAAAAATTCACATTTTAAACTTATTTTTGTTGAATTTATTATTTATGTTAGAGAATGTTATTTGCAATTTTCATGTTGTTAATTTATTTTAAATTCAAAGTGGTGGAAAGAAGAGGAACATTACTTTTGGAAAAACATTTATGATAATTTTCCGCTAAGATTTTTCGAAAACAGATTGTAAAACGATAGAGAAAAAAGAAAAAGAGATACATTTAGAAATTAGAAAATAAGAATAAAATACATAGGAAACTAGTTACCACTTGATCGACTGTACTAGGCCCATCGCCCATGAAAAAAGATATATTTTCCAAACCGTAATTATGTTATGGCAGTGGATGCAATGTCAAGTTAGATAGACCTAAATGAACAAATTTGGTCATATTTGATGTCACAGTGAAGACTCGTAGGAATCAATGTCGCGCGGTTGAAATATATCTCAATAGAGTAATGAAAACCTAAAAAAATGTCTATTGAATACAATTAAAAGATAAATGATTTATGGAGCAAACGATTTACTGTTAGTTGTTATTTTATAATATTAATCAAGTCGGATTTGTGCAAAATAACTTTTCAAATGTTCAACTAGCACTCAAGCATAAATTGGGTCAATATTTTAAAACCCTCAAATAGTTATAAAAGTAGTTTTATACAGTACAAACTTAACCTATAAAGTTGAAAATTTAACCATAGAAAACCAAAGATAAAGGTAGGGGTGTTTAAAAAAAAAAGACCGAAACAAAAAACCAAAAAAAAAAAAAAAAAACCCAAAAAACCATAACCAAGAAAACCGAACTATTTGAAAAACCAATGGTTTGGTTTTTGTTTTTAGAAAAACTGATTTTTTTTATGTTTGGTTTGGTTTTTCTATATCGAGAAACCGAAATAAAAAAGCAAACCGAACTGAAGTACACAAAATGACATCGTTTTATATATAAATATTACAACATTTGTAAAGTTATCCATAGAATAATAAAAATTAATATTCTATGTGTGGTGAAGCGTGTATATGATAGGAGGGTTAGAGTGTTAAAATTTTGAAAAGATTCAAATCATATATATCTCAACTCGATTGTGAGAGTTAAAAGTGGAGACTTTTTTGATACTATAAAATAAAAGAAAATAGTTAATTCAATCTCGGGATGATTATTTGTAAATGAGTATTAAATTGGCACGCATATAAAAAAGAATAACAGACACCTTTTTGTTTTACAGTAATATCCATTTTGTTTAAAACGAATAAAACATATTACATATTTGTACTTAAATATATATTAAATAAGTATACGAGCTTTTAAAATCAAATGAACCGAGTCTAATAATTTATTAATGGAAAACCTAAAAAAACTAACTGGAAAAAAAAATAGAATTTGGTTTTTTCAAACTAAAAAACCGAACTTTTTGGTTTCAGCGAAAAACCAAACAATGCTCACCAGTCACCCCTAGATAAAAGATTCATATCTCGTGGTGGCCAAGGCTTAGTATAAACATCACTACATGTTTGTTTTGTTCACAATAATTTTTCAAATAAATCACAATAAGACACGATTAGTGTGACCGATTCCAACACCTTTCTCCCAATGCGAACCAATGGTTGGGAAAATTCAGATAATTTGATTGAATATATGTGTTTAAATAAATACGAGTTTTGGTCCATAAATACGGCATATTTTAATAAATATTTTTAGTTGACAATCAAAAGTCTTACAAATTCATACACACACGGAGAGAGATAAGGAGGGAGGGAGGGAGGGAGGTTAAAGACTCTGAGGCGTGGAATAAACAGACTGTCACGTGGCCGATCGAATTAAAATTGGATGGTGTCGTTAAACTCACTTAAGGTCCTTTCCCCTGCCAATATGCGACTACAGAAAATGACCAACTTGTTATTCCTTAATTATTTCTAACATTAAAGATGTGTGGTACATGCTTAGTTACTTCTCGCTGGCTTATTCCACTATTGGCTCAAATTTTACTACTTTGGTAAAAATAAAAGAACATTTTTTAAAGAGCATATCATCTTAACATCTTTGGTGAATTGCGATCCCTCCGCAGGCCTCTCATTCATAGGGAAATTCGAAAACTCATAACTCACAAACAGAAAGCGTTCTTTTCATTTCTTTGATGGAAGATGTGAAACCGTTTTGAAGACAATAAACAAATAATTTGTTAACTTTTAAGAAAGCATTTAATTTATGAGCTAAAAATCTCGACTTTCTCTGCCCCATGACACCTGGTCCAGGAAGCATTACTATCATACAAAATTGATTTAGGAAGATAGAAATTATTATGACAACAAAACACCCAACCAATCCTTAAATGCTGCAAAAGTCATTAAGATATTTAATTAAACACATAGAAATAGAATAACCTCCAATCTACTCAACATGAGTCTCAACTCTCATGTGCAGTTAGTTGTTGACAAACAACTATCCGTCCAAAAAAAAATATCGTCTAGTTAAACAAGAAAATACACAAAATTCACAAATAAACAAATCAGATTTACCAAAAATATTGTCTAGTGATCATCTCTCATTTTAATTTTTAACTACACAAGTAAGTAGACTTTTTTCACATGCTGCTAATGAAAAAATCAACAAGCCTGTACACCATCATCTCAACTTCTATATTTTGTATATATACTCCTTCCATCATATCATCCCCCACATCAAACAAACCTGTACAACAAATATATTTATTATTAAATAAATCCATACAATTATCATGCATGGATCCTCAAGACACTACTTCATTTCACCTTTATTTAACATCAAGAGAAAATAAAATACAAACCTCTGTTTATATAACAAACACCTCACCCCTGCTTCTACAAACTCTACCCAAATATATCCATCCGAACAAACCCTGCAAAACCATCATCATCATCATTATCATCATCATCATAACTACAAAACATTTAAAATATATATATATATATATATATATATATATTTTACCTCGAATGACACTTCAACTTTTGGATTTCTTTCCAACAACAATCTGAAATATCCTCAACCCTCTACTAAACGCTTCATTAAACAAGATCCTCGTTTGCATCGACTGCAACCCCGGCAACCACGACAAAGCCGCCACAGGCATCAACACAACCACCCCAAACATCGTATCATAAGTCCTTGCAACCGACACAACAGTCGCCCATATAAAACTCTTCTCCAAAATCGGCCTAAACACTTGAGCAATCAACAAAAACCCCCACCCAGTAGGAACAAACGCCAACAAACTAGTCAAAATATCAAGAAACCGAAAACTCGTAAACTCCAACAACGCGATAATTATCAAAATCCCAATCACAATCACAAGAAACTGCACAAGCCGATAGTAAATATGCTCTTTCGCAGAGTACTTATCGCGCGCATACACAATCGCCGAATATATCGCAAGAGCCACAATTATGTAAATCCACGAAAGAATATAAACCGCAACACTTTTGCTTCCAGCTGCAATCCCTAACTGGTAAACAATCCCGTATTGAAAGAAAAAGAATCGAAGATCCAAAATGATTTCGAATATTTTCCCGAGTAAACCCGTTGTTCTTAAATGATCTTGTTCTTCATACCACCATTGTTCCCAGCTTTCTTCCGGTTTTGCAAACACACTTCCTCGAAACCAGATCCAGTTCATGAAATCATCGAAATCGTATACGGTTTTCAACCAGTCGAATCCGGATGGGTTGAACACAAACGGAGCCATGATCCATGAAACCACGAGAAACCAACTTGAAATAGTTAACGCGATGTAAGTGAAGGTTCCTTTAGCCACGGGGCTATAAGCAGCATAAACAGTTAGGATTAAACCGAGTTCGATCGCTTTTATGAAATGACTTCGCGCGTATAATCGGTAATTTTCAGCGAATGATTTGTGTTGGACAACAAACCCCCGCCCGGTTGCCCGATATTTCGCTCCACCGTGTAGAATCGTCCGCCCGAAGTAATGCGAACGTGTGCCCAACGAAAATGTATAAAAAACAGACGAGAGCTGTAACTGCATTGTGATGAAATCCCAAATAGCTGCGAGAAAACCGTGTTCGAGGGTATTTTCGACAATCATTGGTAAAGCTGTGAAAAGTCCAAGCTGGACAATAAACTGTTGGTTTAAAATCGTCCCCAACGCGTTATTTGTATTTGCGTTTTCCGAAACCGAATTTTCAACCCCGCTTAATGCGAGATATAATCGGCCCCACAAGAACGCGTATACAGTTAAAGAAATCATCATGGTGTTGAAGAAGAATCCAACTGTGGTGTAGAAGAAAGAAAGCATTCTGAAAAAGTCAAGGCGTTGACCCAATCTGTATACATCTCTACTCAAAACTTGTTCACCGTTTCCACTTGCAACTTTGGCTTCAAACATGGAGACTTGATTTAAACCCACATCGCGACCTTTTCCAACTTGAATATACTCATGGTGGGTTACATTTCCGCCTCTTAAAGTGCAATTAAACCCTGCAAAAATGTCTTCACTTAAGTTGATCAATCTTGAAGCTTTGCTGATTCCGCCACGTGTCATGAACCAGAAGCGATCGAATACATCCGGGTGCCCGTAATGTAAACGGATCTTCAACGGGTTCGCAAGGACCCGTTGACCCAAAGTCACAAAACTCGTTTCTTGAGCTGACATGAACCATGCGAGTGAAGAAACGGACCCTGTGAAGATGTTTTCACGGACTCCTAAAATATTCGGTTTCCGGATCCCGTATTTTTGTTTATATTCTTCTAACAGATTCCTCATTTTCAAAGCTTCTTCAAAGTAATTATCTTGATTCATGTCAATGGTTTGAACAGCATCTCCACGGGTGAAAATCAGAGCGTGATTTTGATTCTCAGGTTTACCTTCCCCGAGTTTTAACGGACCCGGTAACTTGACCCTATAAACTTCAACTTCTTTTCCAAGATTTTGGTCAAACTTGACTAAAACAGAGAAATAATCTGTCCCACCAGGCGTCGCCACCTCATCAACATACGCCACACGTAACGCTTCATGCTCTTTCATCAAATACAGAATCTCATCAGCATGTGGGTCCTTTTTCGCCTTTTGGGTCCCGTATATCTGACACGCAACCACATAAGTATACTTCATTAAAGCTGTTCCATATTCGTGCCCTTTGAACATCATACTGACCCGACTATCTGCCCGGGTTAAATCCCGGGCACTACCCCCCACTGGAATTAATTCTTTCGCACCTTCACGAATGTCCATTTCAGAAGCTGAATCAAGAAAAGCCAACATTTTAAGTGCCCGATAATAATACATCATACCCCTGACAGTTCGGGCAAGTGTCTGCCCTCTGTAAGATGCCCAAAGTCTCAAATCTCTTAACTTTTTTGTCCATAACTCGTCTTCGGTCAGCATCCCTTCGCGACGCATCCGTTGCAAAAAGTTCACCCATTCATCTGCATAGATTGTCTGTAGATAATAAAGAGTGGAAACCCCATCTTCATTTTCAGTTCGAAGCTGTTCTTTGTTGTACACCACTTCCTCATTGTAGTAAGGTGTCAAAACACTGAAAGCCATCATCTTCTCCACTTGAGGTGCATGTGGCATGTTCATGAACAATGAGTTACTAAAGAATGCAATTCGTCTTCTTGCTTCAAGATTCACGGGAATGTTGTTCATGGAGTCACGTGAAGTCAAAATCGTGTGGAGTCTTCGCGTTTGTCTGTAAAAGCTTTCGTTTTTTGAATCGGGTAGTGAGACTGCATTCTCAAAAAGTAAACCCGCACCTGAAAGTGGCCTATGAGGGGCTAAACCGTCTTCTTTCAGCTCATTCATGGATCTTTTTTCTTTGAAGAAATCGCGTATCACAACCTCGTAAAGTGCTTGTAATGTGTTGACTATTTTGTTGACATCTTTGTTTGACTTTATCAAGAGGTCGACGAGGGTGATGAGCTTTGTGTGGATTGTAGGGAGGGCGTACATGTTGAAAGTTTTGGTGAACTTTTCGATGTTGATTGAGTTATCGATTTCTTGAAATAGGGTTGTGAGGATTGAGTGTTCTTGTGTGTTGTATTGTACAATTGTTAGAAGCAAGTGTCTGATACTATCATAAGTTTCAATAACTGAACATCTTCTGTATTCGTTTTTCCCGATTTTCTTCCATAGCCATCTATCGGGAGCATCAACCAACTCTTTTGCTTGGCTTAAAGCAAGAAGCAACTCATTACACAGCAACAAACATGGCCATTGTACAACTCTAATGTTCCATGTGTTTTGAGGCAATTCAAGAAGCTCGACTTCAAGATCACTAACAATGTCTTCTTCTCTAAATGTCAAAATGATTTCATTCCATATCAAAGCAAATTTATGAGCTTCGATTTGGTTTGATTCGAGTTTCTTGAATGGTCTCCCAAGACCATATCTTAGCTTCAATCTGTAGATAATGTCTTTGAACTTTGACCGAAAAGTCCCTCTTGTGTTCAACAACTGTTCTTCAGGCATAAGATTGAACTGCATTGCACTTGCGAAAAACTGAAACCTTAATCTTAGTTGTTGGACATTTCTGATCTCACCCAAATGACTAAAAAGCCCAACTGCAGCACCCACGAAGGAAGAGTAAATGGAGTACCAGATTTGTGTGTCCATGAGATAGATTAAGACAACTGGTAGCCATAAAAGACCTACTGCAAACCTGTTGCTGTTACCAAAGAATTGGTGCCATTCGTATGTGACATCTGTGAGGTCTAGAAGATCTTTAGTGGGTTTAATCATTGGTTTGATCTGCAAGAAGTACTAAAACAGAACTTTGTGGCAAGAACAATGATCCAGAATAAAGAATACTTTATGTTGTCTACTAGACCTTCACGGAGACCACGGCCTACAAAAGTTCTACTTTGGAACCACCAGGTTATGAAGTAGAAGATTCTCCAGTTAGTGTTTTCAATGAAGTTACGAATCCATGGAAGAATGAAGAGAAGAAGAGCTAGAATTTCAGGGAGGATGAACACTAATGCGACTTCAAGAAAAGTTACCACTCGTTTATTGGCTGCACCTGACCAACGCCCATCATCCTTCTTTTGATTCCAGATTCTAGTGTAGAACACCACGAAGATTATGATCCAGATAACAGAAGTAATGATCTTCAACACCATTCTTACACCAAGCCAGTACGTCTCTCTGGAAACGAGTTTATACTGCATCACAGCATCAAGAAGAGCTTTCAGAAACCGCAAACAGCTCCAAGTTATGAACACACTTAGAACTTTTGCTTGGGCGTCTTTGTTCTTTAACGCCCTCCATGGAGTATGGTCTGGATCTCTCCAGGAAACGATGATGGCAGCTTGTAGAAACAGAAACAACATAGTCCAGAGCTTATCGAAGCTTCTAAACAGGTTCAGAAAGGATCTCTGCTCCACGAAACCTGTCTTCCCTACCCTCTTCCCTTTGCTTGTTGTTGCGAAGAAATTGCTCCCCGATATCTATAGGCCACTTCAATTTCTGGAAACACCTTCTGCTCCAGAAGTACTCGTTTATATCATCGTAATTCCGCCAATCTGAATGCGGTGCTGTGCCGTTCTTACTGTTCGCTACCTCGGCCTTAACAGTATCGTAAATTGGTTTAACAACGCGATTCAAGAATGCGTTTTCCCCAGAAATTGAGGGCAAAACAGGCCTACCTGTGTTCTCATCGATGTAATCTTCTAGAATTTTGTTCAGCTCCTCAGCCATATGATGAAATATATAACAAATACACTCAGGTATAAAGCGGAGATTCGCGGACTCACCCCAAATGAGTAGATAAAGTGAAACGTAAAGAAGCTCACGGCGGTGGTCGGAGGCGGAGAATTGGCGGCGTGAGTCAGAGATCCAGATGTTGGATTTACGGCCGAGGAAGGAGCACCAGTGGGTGTAGTTGCTGAGTAACTTACGGCGAAAGCGGCGTAGCACGGAGGGGTCGAGAGTATCGATATTGTCTGGCGGTGGCTGCAGCCGCATCTGGGCGTTGGCGAGGTGGAGAACGAGGTGTTCCCGCTGGTTTGAAACGTTGTCCGATTGGAAACCAAAGAAGGCGCCAAGCCAGTCGAGGAGGTCGTATTGAGGTTGCCATGGAATGAAGGGCGGTCTGCGTAGGTCGCCAACAGCCCGTAGAGCAGCGGTGGCAGCACGAACTTCTGGGAAACGGAGGGACGGATGATCTGCTAGTAGATTGTGGATTGGGATTATGTTGTAGGGAGACTCATCAGATAAGTCTGGTTCCGGCGACGGCGGAGGACGCTGCCGGTGGGTCATCGTGGAGGTGGGGATCGGAGAGCACAATTTGACTATGAGACGAGTGAGGGTTGTAACTTGTAAGGAAACGTTACATTTGGATTGGGAGAAACGAATAGAAAAAAGCAGGAGGTAGTGGGGCCATGTGACCGCGTGATTAGACCTTTTCTTCCGCGCTTTTAATCTTTTCTTTGCCCCAAATTTTCGAATACAGGTGTATATTACATTATATTCTAAGATTCAAATTTGAATTTATTTAAAGCTTTAGATATTATTTAGGGTGTATATTTTACTTTGTTAAAATTTATGAAATACTTATATTAAGAATATAAGGTAAGCTTAATTATGATATCATCTTTATTTAAGGTATCTTGAAATGTTGAAAAATATACAATGAAATATGACGTTAGATTTAATAGATTCAGATTTATACATATATGTAATGTTGATTTCAATGACATTTGACTTGATCATCATATTTAAATATGTAATGATGTTTTATTGTTTAGGTTCGTTTTGTCGACTAGTATAAACTTGATTACATAATAAGGTAGGTTATTTTAATATTAATCATGTTTCTATGCATTATATGTGTGAAAAGTATTTGAATCATTAATCTTCATTATTTACATATATCCAATTATAGATAAAAACTACGTGATTACACTTTATATTTTACGAGTCATAAAAGGAATTCACAACCTTTACAATAAACCTCATGACTATCTCTCAAATCAAAAAATAAGGGGAGTATGGAACAAACATTGCAGCATGCAAAAGCGAACTCAAAAAATTTGGTTTGGAAAATACGGATATATTCCAATTACACATTAAATCCGGAGAAAATACATCCTTCTGGTACGACAAGTGGCTAGGATCGGTTACACTTGGTGAAAAATATCCATCCCTCCTTGAGCTCGAATATAGAAAGAAATGTACAGTGGCTGATAGGATTGTCAATAATCAGTTCGCAGCTCACTGGAAATCTAGTGTGTATGGGGTTCATGATTTGCAATGCATCGATAACCTTAATCATGACTTATCCTCGGTACATTTGGTACCGGGAGAAGATTATTGGACTTATGCAATGGACAATAGCAGTCAATTCACAGTGAGCACACTAAGGAGAAAACTAGAACGGTTACTATTCCCCAACCGTGTCTTATCATATTTTAAATGGAATAAGATATCCCCGAACAAAGTCAATTGCTGCATATGGCGAGCGATACAAAGGAAGATCCCATCGGCAGTGGCACTTAGGAAAAAAGGAGTTAACATCGAAAATGACAAATGTGGTGCCTGTGTTAATGGAATGGAATGCTCTGATCACATCCTCATACAATGTCCATTTGCCTGCGAGGTCAGGAAGATAATATTCACTTGTGCGGCTTACAACGGGAGTCTTTCACATCAGTTGGAGAGCTAATCGCATTTGCAGAAAACTGGGGAAGATGCCCAAGGAAGAGGAAGAGATTCATTACCATTTGTCACGGCTTACTCTGGATTCTGTGGAAGTTCAGAAACGATCGGGTGTTCAACGGACTATTCCAAAATCCCACTCATGGTGCAGGGGCCATCAAGTCAGTGACATTTTTTTGGATACAGACCATGGGCAAAGGAGGAATTGGCGATTGGAAAAATTGGATCTCTTCTCCATTTCAGTTTTAATTTCTATTTAACAATTAATATTTCCCTTTCCATGAAAAGCTTTTGCTTATGTACTCTTGTCCTCTTGCTAGTTACTTGCTAGTCGGGGGTTCGTTTTAATAATATTTGCCGTTTCCAAAAAAAAAAAAAAAACTTTCGTTTAACACAAGTAATAAAGACTAATCACAAAAATACCAAGATGACACATCAATTTAACAAATTGACGAATTTTTTGATCGAACTACAAAATGACCTTGGTTATTGTAAATTGTGAAATATATAATCATTTGTTATATAGGCTATTTTTGTGATTAGCCGTCTAAAAAAAAATTTATGTATCATCATCTATCCAAAACAAAATCGTTATCAATTTTATCTAAACAAACACTTGTTCTTGATTAAGTTTTATGAGTGAAAGGTAGTGAATGAGTAAAGGAAAGGAAAAGATGTTAAGGGTAAACTTTCATTCGTAGAAACTCGTTTGATGGGTTAATTGTGTGCCTCATGTTTTTGGTAATCGTAAATTATTATCATAATAAAAATAAAAAAGTGGGTAATCAACTCATCCATCCAAACTTGTCAAACATATCAACAAATTGACTCAGTACGCTTGTTCACGACGTTCATGTATCTATAAAATAATGGCAAAATATCTACATTTTAAAATAGAAAAAATTGCAAAAAGTCTCTCTGGTTTGTCAATTGGTTTATTGGTTAAAGTTCAAACCTGAGAAAAGTTTTGGACTTGATCATTTTATTTAGTTTATTTACGTAATTGGTCCTTATCGAAATTGAGACCCTGTTTCACCATGTATATATTTATTTTCTTTTTTCCTTTTTCTTTTCTTGAATATTTTAATGTTATTGATATACAATGGCATCATAACCTCATCTTCTTTACCTCCATTGTTCTTCAAGTTTTCCCCCTTTTATAGTAACGTTTAATGGCCATTGATCAAAATATTAGCTGAGGAATGAAATTAATCTGTTAATTAATCCTTCTAGGATAGTTTAGGAACGTTGTAAACTAATAATTTAATAACCAAAATAAAATACCGCTAATTATGAAATAGTTTCAAAGATCAAGTACAATCATGAATATTTCCACTTTGTCTTCTACGGTAGTTCAGGGAGGTTGTAAACTAATGATTTAATAACCAAAATTAAAAACTGTTAATTATGGAATAATTTCAAAGAACAAGTGCAATTAGTTATACAATAAATATTTCCATTTTGTCATTCTTCATCGGATCATCACAATGTTATACGAATTCCAGTAGTAGCGTACTAACAAAAAAAAGTGATCAAATTATTGTGAAGTTGTGTCTTATATTTTTTGTAGAATTTCGATTTTGTACATCAATTATGAAACTAAAACATATTCATGATTTTATTTCTGATAGCGTATATGGTATGGTCGATAATTAGTACACGCACAAATCGAAATCCAAGACAATACAAAACTCATTATTTTTTAAATACAACTTGGACCCGTCCCCACCAGTTTTCAATATGCCTATGTCAATCCAATTTCTGAAAACATGTCACAAAAATTATAAACAATTTTGGTGTTAGCATTGTAACAATATGCACATTACCCACGAATCTGGTGGGGTTCATTCCCACACTTCCCATATTCCTGAAAATCAGTTTTGGGTTTTTCTGGTCTTTGGTTCTTGATTTTTTTCAGGTTTAGAACCAGAATTTGAAGTGCCATTTTCCGACCTTCATAACTTTGTCATACAAGGTTGAAATGAGCTTATTTTTTTCAAAATTTAGTTATTTGTCTTGGCTATTCTTAAGGCTCAATAACCACCTTAATTGGATGCGAATAGGCTAAATTACAGCCTTAACCAATGGTTATTAGGGTTGTGTTGTTTTTAGGTTGTGCATATCTTTTAGTCAACTTTGAACAATCATAACGTTTTCATGAGCTCTGAATAATCAGAGTCTTTTTGAAAATTTAATTCTTTGTATGGCCTACACTTTAGGCTCAAGACCCACCTGGTTAAGAATTGGTTAACTTACACATCCCTAAACAAGGCACGTTAAGTTGCTTTTAGTTTGTGCCTAATTTTTTTTATCAACATTGAACTACCATAACTTTTTCGTATGCGCTCCGAATGAGTTGTTTTTTCCAACGTTTAGGTTTTTTTCCAGAATATTTTTTGGCCTCTTTCGTCTGCAGGCTTACATAAGTTTTGTTCGCAAACTATAGTTTTTTAAAAGACCGTTAACCTAAAAGATTTGCACATCATTTTCTCCTAAAATAAATGAAAAAACCTCTTCTCAAATTTGCAAACATCAGATAGATAGATAGATAGATAGATAAATAAATAAATAAATAAATAAATAAATAAAACATATATTACGACACCAATGTTGAACACAACCATAAATAGGAGTTGTTGGAGCTAATTTTTTATAAGTTTCGGTTTCATTCGGTTCTATACCCAAACACCGGTATGGGTACCGTATCCTCATAAGTCGGTTTAGTTCTCAGTTCCTTCAATTTTCATTTTTCAATTTTGGTTATGAAACCGAACTCATCCCTACTTACATCTACAATAAACACTTGCAGAAAATAACAAAGAAATTGTTTTTTTTTTTTAATTTATGCAGGTCCTCCTGCGAAAATACTATGTTCTATTCTGCAATGAAAATACCAAAAAAGAAATTAGCTTGATCTTGTCAGCTACTTTTTTTACAAAAACAATACTATTAGCTAAAAGCAAAATTATCATATAAAGATTAGTTTTTCAAATAGTTCCTCAAACACAATATTTTTTTTTGGCCAGTTTATTGCAGAGGATAAAATAACAGGGCAATTTTATTCTGGATTGGAGCAAATAAGATGGAACATGATCTTGCAAAAGTTTTATAAACCTCAAAATACCCTCAAATTCTTTAGCAATCCTCTTTCCTCAAACGCAGGTATAGTCAATGTGAACAAAATTTCTAGATACCATTTGAGAAATACAAGTTTTATTTGAAACTTACACACTTGCTAACACAAAACAAACATTCTATAAGATCAAATTCATACTACAACCTGGAAAAAAAAAATGGAGTACCAGATCATCTTGATTTTATACTCTCCACAAATCCACTGCTAAGAAGCCTCTCTACATATTTCCCCAATATATCCACTTCAAGATTCACCTTCTGCCCAATTTTCTTCAATGGAATCACAACTTTCTGCTGTGTATACTCCACCAACATGAAATTGAAACACTCCTCTTCATCAAACACATCCACCACCGTCAAACTAGTTCCATCCACCGCAATGAACCCCTTCGCCACTATAAATTTCAAAATCTCCGGCGACGTCTTCACCTTAATCCACAACGAATCCCCTTCCACCTCCATTGAAACAATCTCCCCTGTTCCATCCACATGCCCCTGCACAAAATGCCCACCCATTCGTGTCGATGGTTTCACAGCTCTCTCCAGATTAACAACCGAACCCTTTTCCAATTCGATCAACGAGGTTTTCCTCAATGTTTCAGGAGCCAGCCCGACTTTGAATTCCAATCGCTCCGAGTCGAATTCTGTGACTGTTAAACAAGTGCCGTTTACGGCTATGCTGTCGCCGAGGTTGACGTCTTCGAGGACGGTCGGCGAATGGATCACCATGTCGAATGATTCGCCGGATTCGTCGAAACCTAGTTCCCTGACTTTTCCCATTTCTTCCACGATTCCGGTGAAGAGGGATGTTATCTGGTTTCTTCGGTTGGGTTTTAGGGTAAGTGGTTTTGGTGTCTGGGATTTGAAGATGAGAGATGAAGGGAGTTTAGGGTTGAGATTTGTTAATCTAAGAGAGTTGGAAAGTGCGAATTTGGGGATCGAGGTTGATGAAATCGCCATTTTTGTTATTCGGATTCGACAGTAATCGGTGGTGGCTCCTTTTATAGGAAAAAAACCCTTGTCGCCATTTCGTAACCCTAAAACTATTTTAACCAACAAATACCATCAACGAATCATGCTCCTCGAATCTTCTGATCTTTTGTCGATTTGACTTTGGTCAACGGCCGTGGAGCTATAGCCATTGCTGCCATGGACATTAGTTCTTGAATCCGAAGCTTACTGGCATATAGCAACTGGATCTGAAATTAATTTCAGTTTTCTCTTTGCAATTTCTATGTTCGAAAGCAGTAGTAATTGTTTTCAAAGTATACTTTTGCAATATAAGAAAGTAGAAGCATGAAAGTGCGTTGTTATTTCTTAAGTTTTTGATTGTATAAGATCTTTAATACGAAAAATTGAATGAAATTTATTTTTTTTAAAAAAAAAAAACCTCTTTAACCATAATACGAAATTTATAGAAATTAAAGAGATCAAACTAGTATATAATATAAGACCTCAAAATTTTCCAATTGTTCCATTCATTAAGAATCTTCACTTGAGAATGAGATTTGTTGTTGACCCGATTGTTATATTATATACTAGTTTATAACCCGTGTAACCACGATTATAAAATTAATTAAACTTTCATATTAAAAACTCAAAATTATTAATCAATTATTTAAATAAATTATTAATTAAGAAATATTTTTTTAGTTATACAAAATTATAATCGTTGATTTAAATAAATACGTGAAATTATATATTCTTATAATCTATACTAACTTTATTTTAATTTTTATTCTAATGGTATTAATTTAATGTAATTAGAATGAGAATTTAAATTTTAAAAATTTAAATATAGAATCAATAGATTGACAAGTGACATGAGATTAATTATGAGACCCAGTAAGATGACAGATGACAAAAGAAGAATAAACTTATCCTTTTATTAGAATAGAGAGATATTATTTACCATTAATGTGACATTCTTAACAAGTTCACATGCCTTTATTATAAGCAAAACAAACTCATAATTGGCAATAAAGGGTAAACCGAAGAGGACATGACTATCAATATAGACAATACTAGTCGAATCCCCGCACGTTGTGCGCAAATATAATTATTTAATTAAAATAATAACATTTAACAAATTATGATTTAATATTTATACATGTAAAACCAATATCAATAGCAACACAAACTCTATAGTTAACATAGTAATTTTATTAATTTTAATAAATTTATATCATTAGTTATTTCCCCTATTAATTCATGATTTTATAGACCGTTTTATGTTGTGTAATTATATATCAAACATATATTGATTCCTATGTATAAAAAAACAAAGTAGTATGAAAAAATAAATATTACAACTTTTGATGATTTTATAGAACGTTTTAAGTTGTGGAAATTATATATAAAACGTATGTCGGTTTGTATATAAAACAAATAACAAATAGTATGAAAAACACTATAGCTTTAATAAAATAAAAACACTACAACATTATAACATTTACATCAAACAAAACTTATTAAACACTTATAAATCATTCAAAATGAATATTTAGAAATCAACATACATTTGATATATAGAAACATTGTTATAAAAAAATTGTGTTGAAATAACCATTGATACGACAAAACTTATTTTTTTTCAACTCTTTCATTTTGAATCACAAATATTTTCAAAGATATGATTTTTTAATCAAAACTTACTTATATACTACTAATATAGCTACAATGTGTATAATAAATAAGTGAAAAATAAAAAAGCATTGCACATTAATAACCATAAGTTTAAAAAACTTTTAAATGTAGTGGAAAATATAAAGACAAATCACATTAAATTTGAAATCACAATTACAGTTAAATAAAAAAAAACTATTGAGTTATAGCGGGAGTTTTAAACTCTTGATTTGTGCCCAATAATGTAATATAAATATTAACAATTATATGTTATAAAAAGCAATATTATAAGTATTTATCATTGAAATAATAATTTTTATACTAAGTTGTAACTAATATTATAATAATTTTAAGTATACGATAATAAAGATATAATAAAATGTGTTTGAATAAAATTGAATTAAGTTTTTGATTTAAAATTATTTTAAACTATACTTATTTTAACTAATTTATAATTAATTTATTTGAATATTTTTATTTCCTATATTATTATTATTATTATTATTATTATTATTATTATTATTATTATTGTTACAAATAATAATAGTTTATTAATGTAATATAATCTATTCTTTAGTTTTACGTTTTTTTAAACAATTATTACTTTTTACTAATTAAAAACTACTTATATGAAATATTTCATTATTATTTAAAAAAAACTACCGTACTTTTTATTGTACTTTCATTTTTTTTTCTTTAAAGCTATGAAATATTGGAAGAGAATGAACAGTCCAAATAAAATGGTAATTTGAATTTCAAAACTATAGTACTTGTTATGTACTGCGACCAATCTTAAAAACAATATGTTAAGAGTGAGTTAGAGGAGGAGGAGTGTATTTTGATCACTTATATTTTCTTATGAAAATATTAATATTTTATTTATTTTATTTATTTTACTTTTTCTTTACGATAAAGAATGAATAGGAAAAAAGGAAACTGACAAATTTAATAAGATAATTTATTTTTATTACTATAAAAACATTTAAAATTGGGTACATCCATATAAATTTTGGGTAGAACATAAAGAATTCATTTTTATAACACACATAATTATTGGTTTTCAACAATAAAGTCATATCATATTAAAAATCATTCGTTGTAATTCGTCATTATCACCAACAATTTGGAATAATAATTGTAAACTCCTTTCATCAAATTCAATTAAAAAAACTTCATCGATGTTATTTACAAAATAAGCGATAGAAACTAACATAATATATACATACCATAAAATACATGTTGAATAATGTTCTCTTGTACATAAAATATATTTTCTTAACATAAAAAAGCGAGAGACAACATAAAGATACATACATGTTAACAAAGTTAATTGCTCTAACTTATAAATAGTTTGATGGTTTATTTACCAAAAGCTCATGAGAAGTAATTATCAATCTCACTTCATCATCATGTGATTATAGAAAGATGCATAACACATAAACTTAAAAAATGATCTCAAGTATACCTTTACAAACATACCTAAATTTGAACATTGGTTAATATCTAAATTTTTACATGCACCCAATTTGAGTTTACATGAATTTATATTTGGAGAAGTTGCAATTGCTTTCTTACATCCATGGAACCACTCATATAACTCTTCAAACCCTACAAATATAATCTATCATTTTGTGTTGACATACATGCAATATGTAATCTACAAATTTCTTATATAGACTAAATATTTCATTTAATTAATTATCTTTTTGAAACGGTACAATTACAAAACAAAAAAAACATATTTAAAATATTTAATTAAATATTTTCGACATCGCCCTATATAACATATGATCAATATATTAACGATTAAACCACAATATACAACGACTGTATTACAATAATCCAAAAACGAAGAAAATTTAAAAGCGAATTAGTAAAACAAACTTACAAAAATAAAAGCTCTAATATAATAACATATCTCCAAAAGTGGTCATAAGACCTCAACCTAACACAAAAACTTTTAAGTTCGTTTTCTTTCTTAAATTTGTAAATGATTTGTATGCATGTCTTCCCAAAAGATTGGTCTTTTTATAGTAAACTTTTCACTAAATGCTAATTAAACATAATATAAGTTATAAAACTTTTGAGTGTTAAATCATAATTAAAAAAAACTTTTGAGTTGCATTAGTTAAAAAATGGGGTTTCAAATGAATGTGGTTTCAAATGAATATGGTTTCAAATGAATATGGTTTGAAGAAGTTAAAAAAAGGGGTTTCAAATGCATGACATTAAAAAATATGCTAGCTTTATAAGTATGTATGATATTTTATATTTTACTGATAACAACATATTTATATTTATTTGATTTTTACTTCAAGTGGCAATATACTTGTATTTTCCAACAACTCTATTTTTCATTTTTTATTTAGTGTAAAAAATAAGTTAATAGTTATTCATCTCCAATCATATTATATTTTCACTTTAATTTTTATACGAACATCTCATTTATTTGCATCTACAAATACAATGGAGGCTAATTTGCCACTTTTCATAACACATGAATTATAAGCCCCTTTAGTTCTTATCTAGCACTTCATTTTCAGTTAGCCTTCGTATTTATTTAAAACGTTTGGAGATAGTTTGACCACCCATTGTCATTGTTGTGACTCTCTATTGGATTTTGTCCAAGTTCCAACATTTTTTTTATCGTTGCAGAGAAGTAAATATAACGTTCTAAAAACTAGATTTAACTTAATCATTAGGGCTAAGCATCTCTTCGATTTTAATAGCCAGCCCATCACTCTCACATCAACCCTTATATCTTTCCTTAGCCCATTTGTAAAATAGCACAATGCTATGCCTTCGTTGGTGCTCTCCTTGAAACCATAGCATCACATGATTCACATCTCCTTCAAGGGCTATAATCGTTGCTTCCATCTTATCATGCTAACAAAATAAATATCTAACTTACAAAAAATACCCTCATCTCATTAAGGCACCGTTTGATAGTTTCTGACTGAGAAAGTGCTGACTGGGAAAGGTCCGTCTGGGTAAGAAATCCTGACTAAGAAAGAAACTTTGTTGTTTGATTGTACATCTGACTGAATATACTGACTGATAAAAAATGACAATTTTACCCTCCTGCTCTAACATAATATTTAAACATTAAACAATTTTCTATCAATAAAGTGTCAACTATATTTATCAATTATATCAAGCCAAACAAAATTCAACATAGTTTTCTATCTCTGTCTCTATCACATTGATTGAAACAAAAATCAATCCAAATGTATATACATACTGGAAAACGATTGGAAAAAAACCACAGTAAACAAAATTCAACATATACAAACACCACTATTGTTAGTAGCATCCACCAAACATCAAATCAGTAT